AATGCTTTAAAAGTGGCGTAAAAATACAATAGGAAGGAAGGTTTGTACTTATGTGTGTTTTTAGGGGGTTAAGACTAGAGGAGGTGTTTAAACTGTATTCTAAGTACTTGCTAAGATTTCAAAAAGTGGAGAAAGTCATTAAGAGTAGAAATTTAGGCCTAGCCAGTTTGGCTCAGTGGATAGAGCATTGGCCTGCGGACCACAGGGGTCCGGGGTTTGATTTGGGTCAAGGGCACATACCTTGGTTGCAGGCTCCTCGAGCTCAGGCCCTGGTTGGAGGCAACCAATCCATGTGTTTTTCTCACATCGATGTTTCTCTCTGTCTTCCCCTCTCTCTTCCACTCTCCCTAAAAATCAATGGAAAAATATCTTCGGGTGAGGATTAACAACAACAACAACCAAAAAGAACAGAAATTTAAATCTCCTTCCATCACCATGTACTTGACCCCCTTTACCCTTTACTCCCCCATACCCCCTTTCCTCTGGTAATACCATACTGTTGTCTGTGTCTATGAGTTTTAGTTTTTCTAGTTTGTTCAACAATGCAAAATACAGATGATGTTTTATAGAATTGCACACTTGAAACCTATATCATTTTATTAACCAATGTCACCCCAATAAAAAAAGAGTTGAAATTCAGGAAAAAATTAACAAAACAAAACAAAAATGGGGACAATAATCCTTATGTTAGAGGATTACGTGAGATAATCTATATGAAAGCATAGTGCCAGGCACAAGATAATCACTCCATTTGTTATCATTATTGTTGTTGCTTAATTGTTTTTGGGATGTGGAAATACATTTCATTTTTCATTGATTGCTTAGTTCTTATTTGTGCATTCTCAGATGTCTTTCCCCAAAGTTCAGGAGCTCCTCAACGAGAAAGACTATGTCCATCAACAGTCTCTTCCCCGGGTGACCTTGGAGGTAGATCATTCTGTGATAGGATCCAGCACACCTCTTCCTTCACTCTGTCATGGTATACAAGGGCAGGAGGGTGCAGGGTATGGCCTCGGCAGTAAGAGTAACTGGTTTCAAACTCTAGGTCTTCCACTTAGCAACGAAATGGGAAAATTCTGAGCACCACTAGGTCCATCGGTAGAATGGGGATCAGAATGGCTCCAGCGGGGTGAAGAAAGGTTAGGTGAGATCATTAGCACATAGATGCTCAATGCGGTGCTAGCACACACTGATAATCCAATAAACACAAGCTCTTGTTCTTCTGGTCGGAGTTGATGGCGGATGCTGAGGCAGGTGGCCACTCCTCCAGCTTTCCAAGGCCAGGTGTTTAGTCTCAAACCTTTTGGCAGCACCTGCAGGTTTGCACCCTCCTCTGGGCTTTGAACAGCAGCGACCCGTTTGGATCAGAGGAAGGCTCTCTCCCCCCTGGTCCTTCCTCCCCTTAGGGTTTTCTTTTTGCACAGTGGATTTCTTTCATGGATCATCTGCCAGAGACATGGGACAAGAATTCTTATTCTTTATGATTCTTTCCCTTTAATGGTCCCGTTCTGTGCTGTCACCTGGCGCCCTCCCTCCTCTCTGGTCCTCAGCAGCTGGTGGATGTTTATAGAAGGAGCTTTCCTTTCTCTTTCAGTAGCCGCCATCTCCCACACAAAAACCTTGTTAACCAGAAGGACTCCAGGCTGCTGATTTATATTTCCGTCATACGAAGAAGGGGAACATTACAAAGGGAGAAGGAAAGTGCCCATGTCCCCAGGGACTGGTTCCCACGTCCTCTCTGATGATGAGTGTGTATATCTGTTTACGCTCTGGATGCTAAGGGATTCCTTCCAGATGTCAGACTTATTATCTTTGGGTCACATGGATTCTTTGTACCTCTTGTGGGTTCGCTGAAAGCAAGAGGAACAATTCTATGCTCCTGTCATTTAATAAGAGGTGCATTACTTTGAAATAAGGAAGATACAATTTCAACAGAAATTTTAGTACCTTGGTAAAGATGGTATCCAAGGGCCTGGCTGGTGTGGCTCAGCGGTTGAGCGTTGACCCAGGTACCAAGAGGTCATTGGTTCGATTCCCGGTCAGGGTACATGTCCGGGTTGTGGGCTCGATCCCCAGTGGAGGTGCATGCAGGAGGCAGCCGATTGATGACGTTCCTTTCTCATTGATGTTTCTATCTCTCTATCTATCCCTCTCCCTTCCTCTCTCGGTAAAAAAATCAATAATAATCATCATAATAATCATCATAATAATAAAGATGGTATCCAAGCTCATGGTGGCTTCAGAGGATGGCTAAGGGCTCACTTTCTATCGTCCTGCATAGTCAGTAATAGGCCAGCATCTCACCATAGGCAGTTATGCAAGAACCATAAAACATACAAGTAAAAATCTCTTGTGGTCAGAATTTGAACTTGATGGTTCAAGGAAGGCTTCCAGGATAAGGAAGTGCATTTGAAACTGGGCTTTGAAACTGGTCTCAGAGAGAATGAAAGCTGTCCCCAAATATCCATTTCCTTCTACTTCCTTAGGAATAGAATCGCTAATTTTAGCTGGTTCCTCCCCTTACCTGCCTGCCCCCAGGGAAAGACTACAGTTTTTTGGAATATTTGCAACAATGGCCACATTTACTCCCCTCCCTTTGCAATGTGACTTTGCAGCTCCTCCTATTTAGTGATGGAATTTATTTCCCTACTTTTGAATCCAGGCCAGACTGTTTTTGTTGTTTTTTGGGTTTTTTTTGCCAAAATGCAATGTGATGAAAGTGACATCATGCCAGTTCTGAGCCTAGTCCTCCAGAGACCTTACACGCTTCCACTCAACCTCTCGGAATCCTGCCTCACCACCACATGAACCAGCCAGAGCGGGCCTTCTGGAGGACAGGAGTCCACATGGAACAGACACAAAATGTGCTAGCTGAAGTCATCCTGGACCAGCCGGCACCCGGCCAACCAGGCAGCTGGCTGCAGGTACAGGAGTAGGCTCAGCCTAGACCACAGGAACTGCCCAGCTATACCCAGCTCAAATGGCCAACCCACAGAATCCTGTGCTAAATAAATGCTTATTGTTTTAAGCTACTATGTTATGGAGTGGTAGTTTGTGGAATAGCAAAACTAATACAATTTTGCATGCAGCTAGGTGTGTCCATGTGACTAAGTTTTGTTGAATGATATGTAAGCAAAAATGATGTGTGTGATTCTTGGTGAGTTTCCCTACAGGGAGGAGGCATGCTTTCCCCACCCCATCTTCCTGCCTTCCTAACAGCTGGGGTGAGAATGTAATAGCTGGAACTTCAGCAGCCATCCTGGACCAGGAAGTGTGTTTAGGATCGGAAGGAACCCATGGCTAGGCGGATCTTGTTTTGTGGAAACCTTTCCAACTTATTTTTAAAATAATTTTATTAGTGTTAATTTTATGCTGACTTTATCCCCTGGCCATACATTTTTGTTTCTTCAATTTCTTCTGGGATGTCTTTTTCTCTTCTGCAACCTCCTTTTCTGGTTTAGGAACAATCTGCTTTTTTTCAGTAGGATCATCTCAATGTGGCAGGGAGCGCTCCTGTGTGTGTTACTCCACCCACAAGCTCTGTAAGTTCTGCACCACGTCTTGGGGACTTCGTTAACGTGGATGTGCTCAATGACCAGAGAATCTACATCTAAACCCTGAAGTTCAGCATTGCTCTTTGCATTCTTAAGCAGGTGCAGCAAAAACTGAGTACTTTTGGGGCTGCCAACTTTGTATCCAGCTCCACTGTCTGGCCCGGGCACACTTAGCAACTCCACCATCGTAATAATGGAGGGGCACACATTGCTTCTCTAAAGTGACACCTCAGATCCTTGGTGGCTTTTCAGATATGCATACCCTTGATGGGCCGGGCAGTTTCATGAGCGTTCTTCAAGGGAACACAAAGATTTGAGTATCTTGATTTGCATGATTTTGTGGGTTTTTCTGGGTCAAGTGAATAGCGAACCATTTTCAGAGGTCACCGCTAGCCGCTTCCGGGAAGAGTCCAGTCTTATTCTGATTACCTCTAAATTTCCTAAGAAAAAGAGATTAATAAGCTTTTATCTTCTTTAGGAACCTAATACAAAATAATACAGATGGTGAGAATTTAGACAAACAGGAATGGCAGAGAAGGCATTCATGTCAGAGGGAACTTGTCAGACGAAACATTACGGATAATGTTGCAGAAAAAGAGGAAAGTGTGGGTAGTTGGTGGGAAAGTGCAAAATTCTATGATATTGCCTAAGGGGAAAGAATGGGTGATAGAACTGGGAGCAGTTTGGGACCAGCTTTTGAAAGGCCTTTTAGGGCAGATGAGAAATTTGGAGGGCGTGATAAAACAGATGTCTGAGTACTTAAGCAGATCAGAGTGAAAAAGTCATAGATTCACTTTTTCCCAATTATTGATTCATTTACTCTGGGGAGATTATATTCAAATGAGGGAGATAAGACAAAATAGTAGGATAATTATGGATTGTGATTAATGATCTGAAATAATTAAACAGTGGTCAGGGAAGAAATTTTTGAGTCCTTAAATTCTGTGCTGAGCATTATGCAGCAGTCTAGGGATGCAGGGATGAATAACACACAGTTTTTTTTAAATAAATATTTTTATTGATTTCAGAGAGGAAGGGAGAGAGGGGAGAGAGAGAGAAACATCATTGATGAGAGAGAATCATTGATCGGCTTCCTCCTGCACACCCCCTACTGGGGATTGAGCCCACCACCTGGGCATGTGCACTTGACTGGAATCGAACCTGGTATCCTTCAGTCTGCAGGCTGATGCTCTATCCTAGCTGGTTTGAACCAAACCAGCTAGGGCAACACACAGCTCTTGTTATTGAAAAGACCACAGTCTAGTGTGGGGTGAGGTTAATCAGGAAAAATTTCTTAGAGGAGGTGGGAGAGAGCCAAAGGAAGCAATTTAGTTTTCCCATATGTATCAGTCAGATATGGCTACAATAACGCTGCATAACATATATCCCCCAAAATTTGCTCACAACAAGAATGTTTTTGTTTTTGTTTTTTTCACTCACAGGTCTGCGTGGAGGCTGTGGTTCTGCTGGGCTCTGTTGGGTTAGCTTGGCTTGATTCCAGGCTGTGTTTTGGTCCAGATCTGCTCTATGTAGCTCCTCATTCTGGGACCAATGGCCCCCCAGGTTTTAATCTTTTCATGGTGGATGGCACAAGTGCAAGAGATCAAGCTAAACCACAGAGGCACATTTACAGTCTCTGCTGACATCGCACCCACTACCACTACTGGCCATAGTAAGTCACATGGCCATGACTGACATCAGTGAGTCAGGAAGAACAGTCCACCTACAGTGGAGGTTACCTCTGGGGGTTACATATTTATTGAAGAAGTCCATGCTGCAAGTGGAATGATTTATATCCCTGGGAGATCTCACTAAACGGAAGATTGCAAAGGTACGGGATGTGTAATTCTGTAAACGGAGGGAGAGAAGAGCTGGGGATCATCACTCAATTTTTCACACCATCCAAGAAAATGGTGTACTTCTCCATTTTTTTCCAGGGCTCTCATGTATATCTGAATAGTTTTACTATTTTTTCAGAAATCTTTTATATTTCTTGGTAGATTTCATGCAAGGCAGCATATTTCTTTTTGTTTAAAATTTTACCTAAAAATTACATATGCACACATGTTAAGACTTCAAATAGGAGTACTAAAAGATATAACAGTGAGAGTATGGCTGATCCCTGTTTCTTTCCACAGAGGTAAAAACTGTTTCCCATCACATCCCACCCCCCTACTCCCAGGAGGTAGAGGTATGCTGTGTGAGCACAAGCACACATTTGCATACATTAAAAAAAAATCTACTATACTTGTTTCTATGCAGCTTCTTTTTTCTCCCCTATTTACCAATGTATCTTAGAGGTAGTTTTATGTCAGCTCAGCTAGGCCCATTTCATTCTGTTTAATGGCCGAATTGTTTTTCATTGTGAGGCTGTGCCATAATTTATTTAATCAGAGCCATATTGAAAGACATTTGTATTGTTTCCAATCTTTTGCTACTATAACCACGGCTGTGTTAAATATCCTGGAACATCTATCTTTTTTTGTGTGTGTTTTTTTTTGTTAATCTTCACCCGAGGATACTTTTTCCATTGTTTTTTTAGAGAGAGTGGAAGGGAGGGAGGGGGAGGAGGGGAGGAGGAGGTGCAGGAGGAAGAGGAGGAGGAGAGAGAGAGAGAGAGAGAGAAACATCGATGTGAGAGAGACATATTGATTGGTTGCCTTCCACATGTACCCCGACCAGGGCGGGGATCCAACCTGCAACTCAGGTACACACCCTTGACCAGGAATCAAGCCTGTGACCCTGGGTGTGTGGGCTGACACTCTAACCACTGAGTCACACTGGCCAGGGATGAGGCATCTATCCTTATGCACATGTCTGAGTATATCAGTAGGTTAAATCTCTAAACAGAAATTGCTATATCAAGGGATACGCATTCTAAATTTTGATGGATATTGACCCTCTGTTTTTAAAAAGAAAGGATTCCTTCCAGCGAGCCTACAGGTTTTTGTCCGTTCCACTTTCCTTTTTTCTCCTGGTTCTTGTCCCATGGTATTCTTTGGGGTTGAAACAATGGAGTAAAGTACCTCAAGACTATTCCTGTAGGAAACTTTGGGTAGTAGCCTTTGAATCTTGGCACATGGTTCCCCATTTGAAGATGGGCAGAACTTGGCTGCTGTTGTAACCCAAGTCACCCCTTTAATGAGTGCTCCGGAGGAGCATCAGATGTTATTTTCAAAACGTATTTACTGAAGGAGTCCATGCCGCAAGTGGAATGATTTATATCCCTGGGAGATCTCAGTAAAAACTGCGCACAATACCCTTTAATTTGATCTGCTTTCCTTATAGCACCTAAATATTTAGGGCAAATAGAAAATAGTTCTGATTTACAATCTCTATAAAAATCTTAAACAACCTAATAGGACATTTGATCATGAAATTGCCTGAAATAATGTTGGCTCTAGTCAGCCATATTTCTTCGAAATGGCCTGCAGGTTCAGGGCAAACCCCCAAACATGGATTATTTTTTTCTCTGCTAATAACAGTCTTATTAATGAAAGAATGATTTTCTTTACTGATCCTTGGCAGCCGTGTCCAGTGCCTTTGTTCAATAAAGGTAGAGATAACTGTCAGTGGTAAGAAAATGTGCTGAGGTTCCTGGGGAAAATGGTGAAAACAAATCTTTTATTAAATCATACCAAATTGTGTTTCTTGTTGATTTTTTTCATTTTGCAAGTCACCATTGTATCTGCTAGTTTTTGTAAACCTTGTTTCAATTTGTCAAAAAAAACCCCACCAAAAACAAACAAAGACCCTTGGAGACTGGGTGTTCCCGAGGTCAAATGCTGTGTGATCAATCAGGGTGATAAATTTCATGTAAATAACGGCCGTAATGGCATTTCTGAGTCTGTTTCTCTTTGTATCCTTGGGTGAGTCATCTCAGATTGGTTAACTTCTGAATACAGTCTCAGATGTTCTGTGGAAAAAGAGCAGTAGGAAGGCGTGGTGGATAACTGGTGTTTACCTGTCCGCAGATTCAAGCCTCCTCCTCGAGGAGGAACACTCCATTTTCCTTTGAGGGCAGGTGACCCAGATGGCCTTGATCTATTCCTTGTATCGTGGTGGGCATGTGACCCAGACATGGCCAATCAAGGCATCATTGCTCAAGTTGGACCAATCAGCGCCAGTGAGCATCCTGGGACTTTTACTACAACTACAGGGAAAGGGAACTCTTTTGAATGGAATACTTGAAAGAACAAGATATAAACCTCCTTTTGGTTATCTTTCCTTTCTATGGGAAGCACATTTTTGAAGAAAGACGAAACCGGGGAAAACAGCAAGAAATGGAGGAAGACAGATTGGCGATGATATTGCTTCAGTGCTTGAATCTAGGCATGCCTGAAGTCTTATCTATCAATTAGGTAAGCTAATAAATTTTTTTTGGCTTAAATCAGTTTGAGTTGGGTTTTTGCCACTTGTTTTCCAACTTCCAGAGTCTCAAGTGTAGGAGGTATGTTCAGCACTACTATTACCCATGTTAATAATAATATAATATAATATAATATAATATAATATAATATAATATAATATGACATCAGCTCTCTTCTGTCCTGTTGCCAGTGGACTACTCCAGTCCATAGCTCATAAGAGGGTCTGGGCACAGCACATCTTCTGTCTTTCCAAGAATTCTCATTGCTAGAATTACTCATGTTTGTCCCATATCCATGCTCTGAGGATATGGTATTTACCTGTAGAGGCCCTGCCTCACTCCCATAGCTCAGGAGTTCCTAATGCATGCAATTGTACTTCTCCCTGCCCTGGGGAGAGACCAGAATGAGATTTCCAGGCAGCCAGTGACTGGCATCTTCTTCCAGCTTTGCATAGGTTCTTTGGTCCATTTCTAGCTCTTTCCTTGCCTCACTCAAATTAGATAATGACCTCATTTGTGGGAAAAGAGATGATGTAACCAGGGACATGGACTATTAACATTTATGGTGTCCCTTCTGCATACCAGACACTTCACTGGCTTATGCGTGCTCATACCATCTTGTGTTTCCTACAGCAATGTCCTTGTTTGTTTAATACTTTTTATGATGTAGACACTGTGCTAAATGTCTTATCAAGTAGTATCTGATTTAATCCTTATAAAACCAGGAGAAAGGCATTATTATCTCCATGGATAAGTTGAGGCTGAGGAAGGTTAGTGATTTCCCAATGTCATGTAATGGGAACGCGGTGGAAGCAAGGTTTCAACCCGGGCCTGAACAACTCTGAATCCAGTTTTCTTCTTTCCTACGCCAGCACTTACTGTATTGTGTGCATAGAGTAGGTTCTCAAAAACTGCTTACTGAATGAAGGCATCTTTACAACAACTTTGTAAGGTGAGTACTTTCTTTCCACTTTACACATGAGCAAATTTAGGCTTAGGATGGTTAAAGACCTTATCCAAGGCCAGGAATCAGCGTTCATAAAATATAATCCTATAATCCTGAAATTTCCTCCTTCTGTTGAGAACTGAGAAAGCTATTCTGTAAGCTAAAGTGTTTTTTGGTATTTTCATACATTCCAATATAGATAGGTTAATGAAGGCTGTATTAGGCTAGTTGTGATGCGGAAAATGGCACAGCCATTTTCTCTTTTCTAAAAAAGAAAAGCTACATCTACATTACTGAATCTGTAGTCGAGTTCCTTATAACTTGTGAGCAGGCAGAACATTGCTTAATGGCGCTGGACAAAGCTCAAGTGAAAATGACTCTAGAGGGGAAATCTTTTATGGAAACAGAAACGATTGTTTTAGGAATCTAAATGATAATTTTTCACTCTTGGTCTCTGGTCTCTTGAGTCCTGGTCTATGTTATGGATGCATTTGCTATGGAATTCTGGTGACTTTGCCCAGTGTAGAAAATGCTACAAAGGAAGCAAAGAAGCTCAGTGTGTGGAGAGAGGCAGTGAGTTGGTGTAGCTGGATTCTGTTAGATGGAAACCACATCTGTAAAGGGCGCCTCAAGGGGACACATTTCCCAGGGTGTTAGCACAGAACGGAGCCCAGGGTCTGATGTAGCCCTCTCTTTTTTGAAAGCACTGACACTCTGCTAAGCCAGTGGTTCTCAACCTTCCTAATGCCGTGACCCTTTAATACAGTTCCTCATGTTGTGGTGACCCCCACCCATAAAATTATTTTCGTTGCTACTTCATAACTGTAACTTTGCTACTGTTATGAATCATAATGTAAATATCTGATACACAGGATGTATTTTCATTGTTACAAATTGAACATAATTAAAGCATAGTGATTAATCACAAAAACAATATGTAATTATATATGTGTTTTCCCATGGTCTTAGGCGACCCCTGTGAAAGGGTTGTTCGATCCCCAAAGGGGTGGCGACCCACAGGTTGAGAACCGCTGTGCTAAGCTAAGTTTTCTCTTCAATTTTCTCCCCGACACCAAGACTTGGCAAAATGCAAGGGAAGAAAGAACAAGAAGCAATTTCCACAGTCTTGAGGGTCCCCAGGGTGGCTTGGCTTTTGAACTAAATCAAATTACTGTCATCTCCCAAAAGATGCTTGTATGTTTGGAATAGTCATTGGCAGATTCATAGGTTTTCTGAAAGGTAAGAGAAAATACCAGCTTAAAATAGCACTGAAATTTTCAAGGGCACTTTTGGGGGGAAGGCTGAAATGCTATCATCACGCTGATGTCCTCATGGACACATCTAGGTTATGTCATTAGTTAAAAATATCAGCCATGGAGCTAAGAATGCACATATGTAATTTACCCACTCACTCAACCACCCTGTCCATCCACTCATCCATCCAGCCAGCCAGCCTCCCATCCATCCAGTCATCTATCCATCCTTCCTTCCATCCACCCTTCCATTCATCCATCCATCCATCCACTTATTCATCTACCCATCCTCCACCCTTCTAGCCATCCATTTTACCCATCCACTCAATATTTATCAAGCGTAGACAATGTAATGGGCATTTGCTATAACTATCAATACTTGGTTCTCAGTAAGCGCCAAGACTGCATTTTCTGCTCCAATATAATTATGGAAGGTAAATTTGCTCTTGGGGTTTTTGTTAAGGTGAAACAAAATGCTGTGCTGAGTTTATATTGGCTTTGACTCTTATGTAACTGTACACTTGGCATTGAAAGTCTTATGCAACTTATTTGGGAAAAGACAGTCTAATGGTACAAGTTGCTGCATCATGAAAAAAAGATGGGCTGCAAAAAACAGTTTTGGTTTGGGCTTTGTTTTTCATTAGAATCTGTGAAATTGTTGAGCACAAGTTGTTGTTTTGCTTGGTCAGGTGCTGCTAGTCAACTAAAAATAAACATGTATATGTGAACATCTTAGATTCTAAGAAAACCCAGATGTGAGTGCAATAATTTAATATACTTGCACTTTGTTATGCTCTACCACATTGAACTTCAGTAGAGTTTTTCTTTGAACACAGATGGTCAAGTATGATGCTAAGAGGACAGGAACTGGAGACACACAGCCCTATTTCAAATCTCTTTCCTACTATTTAGTCACTCTATGGCCTCGTGAAAGTTCCTTACCCTCTCTGAGCCTTAGTCTTCAAAACAAAAATAGGACAAACAATGATACTTCCCTCATAATGTTTTTGTGAGGTTTAAATGAGATAATGCACACAAAGCAATTTCCCCACCATTTTGGTGGGCAGAGTTGGTACTTCTGGGGCACAGAAGTCGATTTATTCATATTCATGGGACGTGAGCAAGCTCCTCATGCTTTTGCTTCCTTCTATTATGTTTTCTCCTGCCACACCATCGGTACTCATTCTAGTAGATGAAATATATGTTTTCCCAGTTCTTCTTTTATACGTTAATGCAGATCTGTGTGCCTAGTTGATAAAATATTTAGAATACTTTTGTATGTTTTGATTAATTTACGTAAATGGTTTTGGGCCCCCAAACCTTACTTCCTCCATGCAACACTATCATTTGGACATCTCTTCATGTTGTCCTACGTAAAGCTAATCCATTACATTCTGTGGCCTAGCAACCCTCGTGTGCACAGACTGCCACTTGCTTATCCGTTCCCCTCCTGATGAAGAATAGGGACACCAAAGTCTTTGCTGTCACACACACACACACACACACACACACACACAATATAGCCCCAAAGCTATGGGGTACATCCTTATACATGAGTCCTTATGGCCTCGTGGGAAAGTTTCTCTGGGCACATAGCCTGGTGGAGAGTGTGGGGCAGGTGAATAGTTAACCACGCTGAGCACTGAGATTGCTACTTGGAACGGCCCTCTTGCTTACACTTCTCCCTGGCACTTGATGTCCACTGACTTGGTAATTTTGCCAATCTTAAGGGTGTAAGTGCTACATCATTGTTAGTTTAATTTGCTTGTCTCTGATTACTAATGAGGTTGAGTATCTCTTCACACTCCTATTAGCCATATGTGTTTCCTCCTTAATTTTCTTTTCATAGGTATTATTCATTTTTCTACTGGGTTTCCTGAAATTTTCTAGTTATTTTGTATGAGTTTCTCTAGATATCAGCACCACCTGGGTTTTAGATGTTGCAGATAACTTCTCACGGTCTATGAGTGCATTAAATGTGCAGATGATGTCCCTTTCTGAGCAGAAATCTCACTTTTAATGTAGTCGAACACTTCATGTTCCTTCTTTATTACTGGCTTTTTTTTTTTTTTTTTAAGATCGTGCTTAAGAACCTGCCCAATTCTAAAGTCACAAAGGTGTTCCCTCTATTTTCTTTGATTACTTTTATAATTTGTCTTTCACATTCAGATGTGAAGGAAGGAATCCAATTTTACTTTTCCCGTACAGCGAACCAATGTCCCCAACAAAATCTACCAAATAATTCGACCTTTCCCAATTGGGATACGACACCAGGTTTCCTATACATGTTGGAGTGTTTCTGGAGTGTCTATGCTGCTTTACTGATCTATTCATTTGTTCCTAAGGCTGCGCTATACTTAAAGAAATCATGATGACTTAGGAATATGTCTTAATATTAAAGTAAATCCATCCTCTACTTCCATTTCTTCAAAATTACTTTACATTGGCATGCCTTTCAAAAATTTTAAAATTTCTTTCTCTATATTAGAGTCAGTTTTCAAATTCTTCAAAAAAAATTCTGCTGGTATTCTGATTAGAACTACATTAAATCCATTTATTAATGTTGGGAGAAAATTAATATCCCTACAAAGTTAAATTATTCTGTTCATGAACATGGTATTTGTCTTAATTTATCAGGTCTTTTTAATGGTCTTTATAAGAGCTTTACTTTGTTTCATGAAGCTCTAGTTCCTTCATTTTTCTGGGGGAGATGATAAATTCCTAGACACATTATATATTTTTGTTGCTATCATGTTCTAAGTATTCTGTACAATGCCTGACTAATGGTGAGTG